AACTAGAACTAAAATAAAAACTAATGGTTCATTGATCCAACAAGGAAAGGAATCTTATTGAAAGTATATTTGTTAAAATAAACTTATCATAATTGAAATGAGACCCACTATTTCCCATTTTAAAACCCTTGGGGTGGAGGGGATACCAAATATAAAACAACCTGAAAGGTTGGTTAGCATTCCAGAGTTCCCAACCGGTTAAAAAATAAGACCTATTACCGCTCCCATAAGCAATTATAATAAATTTAGAAAACAAATATAAGTCTAAAAGAAAGCAAAAGAAACTAAATAAAAATTCTAGAAAGTAAATACAATTATTCATCAACATCCGAAAAACACCTAAGAAACTAAATAAATCTTCCACCGGTCCCAATGATTGTAATTCTTTGAATAATTTATGTTTAGACCCGGAAGAATAACCCTCAATAGTTGCTGTTTTTCCCTTCACTAACACAACCTTTTTAAAATTCAAATTAACCTCAGGAGTAACAAATTTTGGTACAACAGCAGGAATAGTTCCACTTAATCCTCCCATTTCGTCTAATGGAGCTTCCATTCCATCATTTTTCACTGTATTAACTGAAGGAGAAACTTCTTTCGATTCAGCAACAGACTCTGACTCAGCAAAAGTAACGGCTTCCTCTTCTCCTTCCAGAATTCGTGCCTCTTTGAATTCAATTTTTGAATTTTGAACAAATTCAGAAAATTGGATAGCTTGATCAACAATCAAACCATCAGAACTATCCCGGCGATTGACTACTGAAGACCAATCAATCAGAGCTTTATCCAGAATTTGAACATTATGAAAATTAGCATCCTCAATTAAACTTTTATGAAAGTCTTCTTTGTCAACAACTTCAACATTGTTAACATAAGATATATCAACATCCATATTATCATTTTCTTTAAGAGATAACACACTGTATTTATTAGAATTTTCAAGATCTGATATGATTTTATCAGATTCAGCATCAACAAAATCTTCCTTATCTACAACAGGATTCATACCCGAATCCATCTTAACAGGATTTTTCCTAGTGATTAAATCTGATTGCTTATTATCAAATAAAACTTGTCTTTTTTTGTTCTTAAACTTCACATGCATCCATGGCCCATAAGAATTTTCATCAACTTGAAATGAACTTTTAGGAACTTCTTTATCAACCAGATTCAGAGTATGAGAGACATTTGGACATGCAAAATCTTTATGTCCAATTCTTCCACATTTGAAACAAAGAGACGAAATATTTTCATATTCAAATATTTGAAAAAATCTTCCATTTAAACCTTCAACCCAAATACCACAAAGAAGCTTAGAATTCAATTTAATCCGAATGCAAGCTCTAGCGAATTCCCTTCTTCCCCATCTAAACATGTTGCCATCTAATAATAAAGGGGTCCCAATTCTAGAAACTATTTTAGTAATGTTAGTTTCATCCCAACAATGAAGAGGCAAATGAGGTAGACGAACCCAAATGGGAGAAGAAATCCTATCCATGGAGATAGGAGAGAAGTTAGGTGTCCATCTGTCTAAACTAATGATGAAGCCCCCAACGTACCAAGGACCTCCATTAAGAACTTCCTCCGTTGCTTCATATGACTGAAACGAACACAAAAGCCAATCTAATCCAAGCGAGGTTATATGAAACCCTCCAAATTTAGTCCATTGTCTCCTTAATTCAAGATAACAGTTTGAAAAAGGCAAATTTTTTGCATAGAATTTTCACTACCAAGGAATTTCTCAAAACTTGAACATTGGCTTTTTCATTCTCCATATCAAGCTTGACAACATTTGCATCCTCATTTCCATCAAAACCTTATTTTAATATGTGGTTTTTTAATCCACACATTAGAATTATCCAATCCAGAGGAAGAAACTAGAATTTTAATATTAACATCACCAAGAATGTTATTATCAACACCATTACTTTTCTTCAACATATTCTTTTCTTTTGATTTGCAACCCGAAGAAGAAGCCTCCATATCATTTGATTTAGAGATAAAGACCGAACTAGGTGAAAATGACTTACTGTTCAAATCAGAAATAACTTCTTTTCCTTTCTGCGGAGATAGGAATTGTGAGAGAAGCTGCGGTTGAACGAAAATCTACCTTTTAAATCTAACGTAGTTGGATGCGCGATAGATATTATGGATGAGTCTTTTGCTTAGAGACCAAACCTCCCTCTCTGATTACCAGAGGAGAGTTCATGAAATAGGAATTGTGAGAGAAGCTGCGGTTGAACGAAAATCTACCTTTTAAATCTAACGTAGTTGGATGCGCGATAGATATTATGGATGAGGTGTTTCGGTCATCAGTTGATGACCGGCCACCCTCTTCCGTCTTCAACGTTGACAGCAGGAATTCTCAAAATCCTTCCTATTTTTGTGGACGTTCTCTCTCTTCCCTTGTCCGCCAAACTCTATCACAAAAATGTTCACAAACACCTATTTGTGACAAATTCAATAGTGCAAAGCCTATTGCTAAACCTATTTGTCACCATATAATGAGGTTTTTAAAACTATAAATTTTAGCCACTTTTCTCCAACAAGAGATTGTCACAAGCAGATAAATGATTAAAAACTTGGTGCTTGAAGGTCATCAATTGTGAAACAAGGCTCTTATGGTTTTCTAACAAGGATGGTCTGTGATCTAAACATCGTTGAAAGTCAAAAATAAAAATAAAAACAACGGATCTATTTTATTAACACCCCTTTCATTCCTGTGGAAATCATAAAGGAAATTCCAACATCTATCCGTGCCGTATCAGATGCGTATCTGTAACCGACGTGTGTCCGATATTGCATGCCTTCGTAAATAGGAGTATCGGTGCAACATAACCGCTTGCATGCTACTCCTTGGAGATTGCCGCACGCTACTTGTCAATTTTTTTGCACGCTGCTTCAACCTCTCCACACTCAGTTGGAACTTTGTGATTCTTTGCTGTTTGATCTTGCACTTGCATGGGATTATTCAGAACAGGATGAATTACAAAATTGTAAATAAATAAAATTTAAATATTTTTTTACAAAAATGTCTGCCCTCACATTATTAAAAGTCAGAGATCTATAGAATATTTTATTAAATTTAATAGGTTTTCTAGCAGAGTGATCAATTTGATCAATTTTCAATTTTTGATAGATTAAATTAGGTTAGTGTGAAACTCTGGGATTAAATCTGGCACTTATTAATAGTTGAGAGACTATTATAGGCTTTTTTTCGCTTAAATAATATTTTTATTAGTTTTTATTGATTAGAGAAAAAGGAAGATAATTGAGATTGAAGATGATAAAGAAGATGCAGAGGATATTGATATAAGTGAGGATGAGAGAGGCAAGAAAGAAATCAACTATGATTGATTTTAATGAAGACCCTTTTGAGGGAATTTTGAATTTGGAGTCCTTAGGCATAGATAAATTATTTTATGATATGTTTGTTTGTTTATTTTAGATTTTTTGCTTATTATTGAGTGTTTGTATGACTTTTTATGATGTTATTTTGGCACTTTTTGTATTATTCTCAAATGCTTTATTAGAAGAAAATGAAACTGAAAATTTTATGATTTTGCTTATTAGGGTTGTAAGAAGGATTACTATCAATTAATTTATTTTTAATAACTTTGATAAATTTAATGGTTTAAACTCGAGACATATGACTCAAAATTTGTTGAAGTTTACATCTTGTATCATGAAAAGAGAATGCTTCAATAGCTAATTGCAGAATTTCAAGTCTTGATCAGTATTCAAAATATGTTGATAACTTCAGAAATCAGCTTTGGACAAGTTCAAAATGCTGCTATACTTTATTCCTGAACTTGTTAAGGACATAGGGAAAAGGTCCAAATTACTTATGCTCAATGTATGCACACATTTTAATTGGTATGTTATTTTCTTATACAATGTTGAGCAAGTTAAAGTAGACAGATAATGCATATAAATATCAATTCTCACTTTTGTAATCATGCCTATGGTAAAGATGAATCAAGAACGATATATCTCCTTAAGTGATAACGTATTTCATGATGGGATTCTTGATCCTCGCAACCTACTTCACTTAAATCAGTCCGTAGATACAGAGATAAAAACTATGGATGTGGAGCTAATTGAGGTTCGGTAAGCTTTAAATCTGTCTAATTGTTTATTATTTATGAAACCTATGTCTTTTAAATGAACTAAAAGTAAGATCACCAAAATATGTTTGTTTTCATCAAAAGAAGAGGTTCAAATTGGGCTCCATGGGGTCAACATCTAACTTGAAGTTGGCATGATCATTCTTACTCAAAAGGATTGTTCTTTCATGATGGGAATTTAAAGGAAATCTCGAAAGGAATTAGATTGATGATAAAATATGATTATATTTAACGATTAAGTGAAGTAAAATGATTGAACATTTTCATATCCATTAATCACATTCATCTATTTTTGTCTTTAATCTTCATTTAATTTTAAAAGATCATATGAGCAATTTCTTTTTATTAATTGAATTAAAAAACCTTATCTTTAGCAGCATAACGTAGTCCTTTTAGTATTTAAGTTTAAGCAGCTTGACCAAATCAAATGTGGGTGAATTGTATTTCGTTTTTTTCAGATTTTCTAGTTCATATAGTATAGTTCCTATCCTGTTGTTGCTTACTACTTTGTAGATGTGCTGCGGTGAACATAAAGCAATGCACCCTAGGGTTTTATTTGGCTAAGAGGTGCAGACTTGAGGTCTCCTTCTCTCCCAATTGCGTAAAATGGCCAAGATGCTGCTTTTGGGGCCATGCTTGGGCAAGTGCGGCCAGGAAAGTAGAGTGGCCAATAGCAGGGCTTGCACTTGGCACTATCCCATGCACGTTCTAATCCATGGCTGTTGGTTTCTTTCTTTTGCTTTTTGTTAATGACTGTAATGATTTTCTTTTGTTGTAATTAGAAATACTTGTTTTTGTTTGAATCACTTAACTATGCGTTCACTTTTGGTAAAGTAAGAATTGATAATTGCATACTTATTTTTTCTTCTGTAGATTTGGCCCATACTTTGTCCAGCCAGTAATTGCAGGACTGGGAGATGACAACAAACCGTTCATTTGTACCATGGATTCTATTGGTGCCAAGTATGCCTTACTATCAAGCTTTTAAAGGGCTAAGTCATACTGTGAAATATTTGACCAAGATATTCTTCTTTTGTTTTTAAATTAATTCAAAGATTACTAGCTTTTACCGTTTTGGTCGATATTGTGCTGCTTATTTTATTCTGGAAATGATTTATTTTGCAGAGATACTATTTTGTTGCTCTTTATATATAAATAAATAATATATATATATGAACTGAAAAAGGAATGGAATCTTTTATTCACTTAGGCAACGGAGTGTAGATTGTGTAGTTGATGTAGACAAAGGGGGGGTCAACCCTAGTCCAAAATAAATCATATTTTGGCTTCCCTTGAGTCTAGTAGTTTTTCATATTTGAGCTAAACTTTTAGTTCATTTATGAGCTGAACTTTAGTTTATTTATTGAACTAAGGGTTAGCTCATTATGAGCTAACATTTTAGTTCATTTATTATCTTTTAATTAATATAGTTTTATGCTTTTTATGTTTGTTTAATGTTTGTCTCTTGGAATTCCAAACCGGCCTTTGGAATTCCAAGATTTCTTTTTCCCATGGTGGCTCCTTGAATTCCACCATGGCTTTTTAGTTTTTTGTGTATGTCTCTTGGGATCTCACGGCTGGCTCTTTGGTCCGTGCGGTTCCTTCGGTTCCCGCGGCTGTGGCTCTCGGTCCGTGCGGTTCCCTTCGTCTCCCGTGGCCGTCTCCTTGGTTCCTGGTTTGGGTGTAAACCGAGAGCTTTGGGGGGAGATTTCTATGCTTTTAATTATGTGTTAATTAAGTGTTTGTGACCTTTTGTATTCCCCTTTCATACCTATAAATATGGGGGGTTATGTAATGTTTTGAATAGTTGAATGATATTTGATTTTTGGAAAAAATCAGTTAACCTGCGGGTTGCTCGGAAATCCTGCGGGCTCTTTCCAACCTTCTTTTCTCATCCCCTCCGGAAATCCTGCGGGCTCTTTCCACCCTTTCTTCTCGGGCTTCTAATCTCTTCGTCTCTCCGCAAGTGCCACTCCACCTGTATCCTTCTTCTCAAAGTGCAGCAACTTTAGGGTGTCTGTCGTGTTGTTTGCAAGTCGTCGTTATAATTTCTTCTTTTTATTTTTATCTGAAATAAAAGAGTTTGTTCTTCCCTTTTGTTGATTTTCTAGTCCCTTTTCTTGTCCTTTGTCCATTTCGTCTTTAGAAGTCTGTCGTGTCTTTTGTGGGCGAAGGGTATAGGCTCCCTATATCTTTTGCCCGCATCAGCTGCAAACGTCGAAAATGAGATTTTAGGCGATTACCAGCCTCGTCGTAGGCGCCA